AGTGTGAATAGCCAAATGAAGAACTTCAAAACTAATACCAGGTGTAGTTACACATACGTAAAGTTCCAGAACTTAGAAGGCTGAGGCTGTCACCAAGTTTGAACAGTTAGAGCCCATCTTTATTTTTGGTCAGTTGTATGTCTTGAACTCTGGGCCTGGGCGCTGTCCCTCAGCTCTTCAGCTCCAGGCTAATGCTCTGCCACTTGAGCCACAGTACCACTTCCAGTTTTCTGATGGTTAACTGGAGACAAGAGTCTCATGGCCTTTCCTGCCAGGCTGGCTTTGAACCTCAATCCTCAGATCTCAATCTCCTGAGTAGCAAGGATTACAGGTGTGAGCCACCAGCGCCTGGCTGTCTTTCTTTTTTAATTGCAAAATAATGTCTGCTTAGGAAGACAGAATGGACTTGAGAGATAAATAAGGGGAAGAAGCAACAGTATTAGCCTTTGTGTGGTTCCTGCTTCCTGCTTGGTGATCAACACCTTTTCCAGCCCTAGTATGTGCTATAGTTTTGATGTTGAATGTCCCCCAAAGGTACATAGGTAAAGGCTTAGTCCCCAGAGTGGGCAGAATTGGGAAGTGCTGTGGACCCTTGAAAGGCAGGGCCTAGTGAGGGGTCATTAAGTCATTGGGGGTATGCTTTCAGAGACTATGATCTGCCCCAGATCCAGATGTGACCATTTGCCCTGTAAGTATTCCTACTATAATGTGCCACCATACTCTGCCCTTCCCAGTCTTGGACTGAGAAACTTCAGAACTGTGAGCTGAATCAACCTGTGTTTCTTTTAAGTTAGCTGCCTTGATTATTGTATTGTAGTAATGCAAAGTTGATTAATGCAGTACTTCACCCTCCCGGCTCCAGTGGTAGGAAACAATAGTTTATTAGCTTGTCCCCCAAGTCACCTTTCCTGAAAGAACATGTGACACCGAGGCCATGAAGACTCATCCTGGGATTATTTTTTATTTGTTTGTTTATTTTAGCAGTCCTAGGCTTGTTCAGTTGGCACTCTCACTTGAGCCATACCTTCAGCCAGGGGTGTTTTGTTTTGTTTTGCCAGTCATGGAGCCTGAACCCTGGGCCTGGGTGCTGTCCCTCAGCTCTTCAGCTTAAGGCAAGCACTCTACCACTTGAGCCACAGCGCCACTTCCAGCTTTTTCTGCTTATGTGGTGGTGAGGAATCGAACCCAGGGCCTCATGCATGCAAGGCAAGCACTCTACCACTGAGCCACCTTCCCAGCCCCAGCCAGGCTTTGTGCTGGCCGTTTTGAAATTAGTCTCATGGACTTTTCTCTCTGATGAGATTTTTGAACTGTGATCTTTAGATCTCAGCCTCCTGAATAGTTAGGATCGCAAAGCATGGGCCATAGACTGGTTTGTTCTTTATGAGTCAACTTTCTCCTAGTGGATCAAGTGCTATGACGATGGGAATCTGGAAGTTCCCAGAGTCATCATGGGCCTTGGGTGGAGCTGGACCAGGAAAAACAGCCTATAAATGGTTCCTGGTAGCATCATCTGAACTGAAAATCAGGGACCAGCTGTGCCCTTAATTTGTCATGAGCTAAAGACCCAGTGGTTAATTTATTTACTCTCCAAGTTGGTTGAGTTGGTTGAGTTGGTTTTCTTTAAACTGACTCTGAGTTTAGTGTCCAGCGTGTCCCTAATTAGCACTGAGAACAGGAAGTAGAGCTAAAGTTCACTGCTCTTGGGCTGTTTTCATGGTGAGAAGGAAGGACACGATGTCCATTGCCACCATCAGATCTTTCTGAGAGAAAGATGGATACAGCTTGTGGGCTGTAATTTAGCAAACGTGAAGGATTCAGAGATGCTAGAAGAAGTAGCCTACACCATTTTGGGATTTTACAAAGAAAAAAGAAAAAAGAGAGAAAGGAAGAGGAAGGAAAGAAGGAAGGAAGGAGGGAGGGAGGGAAAGGAGGGAGGGAGGGGGAAGGAGGAACAGAGGGAGGGATAGAGGGAGGGAGAAAGGGATAGAGAGGGAAGACAGAGAAAAAAGAGAACAAGAAAGGGAGGGAGAGAGGGAAGAGGAAGGACAAAAGAGAGAGAAATTAAGAAAAAGAGAGAAAAGGAAGGAAGGAGGAAGAGAAGAAAGAAGGAAGGGAGGGAGGGAGGGAGGAAGAGAGGGAGGAAGGAATAAACGAAGGAAGGAAGGAAAAAAGACTAGAGAATAGGCCTTTACTGGTAGCATGCTTGCCTAGAATGCATGAAGCCCTGGGTTCAATTCCTCAGTACCACATAACAGAAAAAAACAGAAGTGGCACTGTGGCTCAAGTGGTAAAGTGTTAGCCTTGAGCAAAAGAAGCTCAGGGACAGGGCTCAGGCCCCTAGTTCAAGCCCCAGGACTGGCAAAAAAATAAAAATGAAAACAGTTGTACTTGCTTTTTCCAGTTTGTCTCAGTCATGTGCAAACTTCTTACTTGCAACAGCAATCTGTTAACTGGCCTAGGGAAGAACCCTGTGACCCTGAGCGTCCTCCACCTCCCTGAGACAGGACAGGGCTTGTGTGGAAGCCTGCTCTGGGGCCCTCCCGTGCTGCTGGGAACAGTAGCTCCTTCAGTTTGGCTCAGGTGGGGGGAAGGGCATTAGTTCCAGGGAGACACTGAAATGTTTCCCCACCACACCCCTTGCTGGGGCAGGCACTTACCCACCCCACAGAGCTGAACCTGTAGAAGGGGGCCTTTGAAAAGTCAGAGATTTTGCTAACACAGAATTGTTGTTAGTGAGCAAGGCCTGAAAGTGTTCTGTTTCAATCATGCAGCCCTCTCCCTCACTCCCCTTGCTCTCCCCACCGCCCCCCCCCCCACCAATGAGACTGGATGGAGCCAATGGGCTAAGAGCCAGGACCTTGGGATAGGATAGAAGGATAAGACAGAGGATAAGAATGAGGAACATGACAAAAACAGGGAGGAAGGCCAGAGAGAGGGCCTTCCCAATGCCTGCTTCACAAGGCAGAATGAACTGACAGGAAATCATGGGGAAAAGATCACTGGTGCCATGCCCTTCACTCTCAGCATGTACACTGTGTGCGCACAAAACCACATGATATGTTCCCATTTGTGGGTTCTTTCTACCCTTATGATATTAAATATCAAGTTAAGCCGGGCGCTGGTGGCTCACGCCTGTAATCCTAGCTACTCAGGAGGCTGAGATCTGAGGATCACGGTTCAAAGCCAGCCCGGGCAGGAAAGACTGTGAGACTCCTATCTCCAATAACCACCAGAAAACCAGAAGTGGCGCTGTAGCTCAAATGGTAGAGCGCTCGCCTTGAGCTGAAGAGCTGAGGGACAGCGCCCAGGCCCAGAGTTCAAGCCCCATGACCGACCAAAAACAAACAAACAAATAAATAAATATCAAGTTAAAGGTTATATAAAAATAATGTGTCAGGGAGAGGAGGGGGAAGCTTCAAAGAAGCCAAGGATTCAAGAGCCAGATTCCAGTTCAGCAAGGCCTCACAGAGTCTAATCTCAAAGCCAGACTCACGAGAGTCTCAGTCAAAGCAGCCCAAGGATCCCTAGCATACTGAAAATTTTAGCTGGGTGGGTGCAATCCTAGCTACTTAGGAGGCTGAGATCTGAGGATCATAGTGCAAAGCCAGCCCAGGCAGGAAAGTCCTTGTGAGACGCTTCTCTCCAATTAACCACTCAAGAACCAGAAGTAGAGCTGTGGGTTGGGAAGGTGGCTCAGTGGTAGAGTGCTTGCCTTGCATGCATGAGGCCCTGAGTTCAAATCCTCAGCACCACATAAGCAGGAAAAGCTGGAAGTGGCGCTGTGGCTCAAGTGGTAGAGTGCTAGCCTTGAGCTGAAGAGCTGAGGGACAGCGCCCAGGCCCAGAGTTCAGGCCCCAAGACTGGCAAAAAAAAAAAGAAGAAGAAGAAGTAGAGCTGTTTTTCAAAGTAGTAGAGTGCTAACCTTGACAAAAGAGCTCAGGCCCTAAGTTCAAACCCCACAATCAACAAAAAGAAAAACAAAAAAAAAAAGAAAAAAAAGGAAAAAGAAATTCTTGGTCTTTATTTTTCCCTCTTTTCCCTGGTCAATTTGTTTCTGGCATTGTCTGTTTATACTTACTTTCTGCTCCTCAGAGATCCCAAGATCTGCCCAACTCTAACTGCCTCATTTTGACTCCAAAAACCATAATCAGGCCAGGCACCAGGAGCTCACACCTTAATCCTAGCAACTCAGAAGGCTATGATCAGAGGATCATGGTTCAAAACCAGGCCAGGCAAGAAAGTCTATAAGACCCTTATCTCTAAATACAAAAAAAAAAAAAAAAAAGGCCAGAAGTGGAACTGTGGCTCAAGTGGTAGAACACTAGCCCTTGAGCAAAAAGCTCAGGGACAGCACTCAGACCCTCAGTTCAAGCCCCAGGACCAGAAAACATTATATATATATAGATATATAGATATAGATATATATACACACACATTATATCTTATATACATATATTTATATATTTATAATCTCTGACCTGGAGTGAGGCACCCATCAGCAAGGGCACAGAATGACCAGCAAAGGGGTTTCTGGCCCCCTCAGATGGAGGCAGGCAGTTCCTTTTAGATGTGTCGGGGCTGTCAGCCTGACTGATACATCAGGTTCCATTTGTGAGATGCCAATTCCATCTCCAGAGTGGCTTTAGGACACCTTGGTAGCTTCCCAACAGATACACTCCCAATGACAGCTCTTGGACCTCAGATCTCTGAGGTCAAGTGCAGCTGAGTAACCTGAACTCCCACAATCCCATGCTCTCAGGGCCCAGACCTCCCTAATGCCCTATCGGAGAAGAATGCATGCCAAGTCATATGCATTGTGTTCTTTATTGCCATATGTTAAGCAGTGGGACAGAGTGGGACTGGAGGGGGAGACCTCAGGCAGAGAATGGAAGGAAAATGGAGTGGGAACCACTTCTTTTCCACTTTCTATCCTTCCTCCCAGCTGAGGATTGGGGGGCGTGGCCACCAGCCACAGGAGAAGGAAGCAAGACCCCCCATTAGATACAAGCACAGTGTTGAGTGAGAAGATTGGAGATTGTCTCATACTTGAAAGAATACCCTCCATCTGAGGTAGTGCGGACGTGTAGGGGCCTCCTGGTGGCAGGGACGGCAGCACAGCAGGGCTGGACCCCTGGTACAAAAGAATAGTGCTGAACTGGGGTTGAGGGACCCCCAGGGCCTGAATGGGGCAGGTCTCGTGGAGTGGGAAACCAACAGCCACCGTGGCAGTAGTGGAAGATGAAATTGGGAGGGTGCACGATCCATTGGTCCCAGCCCAGCTCCTGGAAGGAGATGTTGATTGAGGCTCTGTGACAGTGGTTATGCAAGCTGGGTTCCTCCGGAGGCTTCTGCAGCAGGTGCAGAGCAGCAGGAGACCAAGGCCAGGGCATGGAGGGAGCTGAGCGCCGGGCTCTATCCCCTCCGCTGGCTGGTCTTGCCCGAGTGTGGGCCACCAGGAAGGGTGTGGTCTCAGGCCGGGCTGAGCAGGTGCAGAGAGGACAACGTAGCAGTAGCACCAGGACTGGGTGAGTGAGCAGATTGAGGGCAGAGGTGGCCAAGTGCAGCACAACCCAATGAGGAGGCGCTTGGCCCAAAGACATGGGCACAGACATAGGCCCATCAGATGATAGCACCAGCAGGCCTAGTGGGAACCCTGAGCTATTGGAGGCCACCAGGACCTTCCTGTCTAGCCCTGTGTGGATCCACAGCTGGGCAGAAGTCACCTGGCGGCTGCGAGTGTGTTGAGATGGCCGGAAGACGTAAGTGAAGAGACCGTCCTCAGTGCCCTCCGTTAGCCCTCCAGCAGCTGGCTCGTCTTCACAGCTGGCACCTGCAGGGAATAGAGGGAGAGGGCAGACCTAACTGGCAGTTAACGGGAAGGATGTGGCTGCTATTCACAATGCTGGTCACATGATGAGCCCCTGCCCAGATCTGGGGACATTTCACAGGCTTGGGAGAACTGAGCCCAATTTTTCACTCATCATTACAGCACTTAAGAAATAAGAACAGGTATCTACCACAATGGAATGTTACACAACCATGTTTTCTCTCATATGTGGAGGCTAGATCGAAAATATACTGGGACATAATAAATTACACAGGTCTCTAGATATTCACATATCATGAGAACGAAAGTGGAGACTCTTAGAGGAACATAAAGCACAATGCTTATGTGCATCTGATCATACAAAATGGTATTTACCAAAATGAACTTCAGAAAATGGAAACTATAGGCTATTTTTCTTTAAACTGTTTTTGTTTTCTTTTCTTCTAGTCTGTTTTTCATTTATATGCCTCTGGGAGTGTAAGAGAAGGCACAGAAATAGAGGGACAAAGGGTGAACAAAGGCAGTAATAGGTCTCACTGACACCATGTTGAAAATGAACTATACAACTTGTGGGTGGAGGTGGGAAGAAAAGACTTGGGAGAGAGTGAGGAAAGGGTTGACATTGTCCAAAAACACATGTATTCTTTACCTGACTTCTATAACTGTAACCTCTGTATACATTACCTTTATAATAACAATTTGAAATTTTAAAAAAGAGCATTACCAACTTCCTTTGTGTTTTTGCCAATTAATATTCCAAACAAGCAATGAGTGTAAGAGTCTCTGTCACTCTTGACCTTTTCCAACACTTAAAATTTTAGGCTTAAATTTTTCAAATCATCAGATAGTGTGAAATGGTGTCCTGAATGCTGTTCACATGAAGTTTTGATATATATATATATATATATATATATATTCTTTATATCTTTATATCTTTTGTGATATCAGAAACAGTACATGATCAGTTCCTTTCAATAATTACATGTTTTAAAGACAGCAAAACACCAAAAAGAAAGGGACGAAGGAGGAGGGGAGAAAATGGAGAAGAAAGTAGGATATAATTCAGACTAGAAGCTACTCCTCTCCCCCCTCCCAAAGTGCAGTTGATATCCTTATCCTGACATACAGACTACAGGAAGTACTTAGAGGCTGGCCCCAAAGGATTGGCAATTGAGGCAATATCTTACAGCTTCTCATTATAAATTCATGACAATTGATCTGTTTTGCAGGTAAGAAACCGGGGCTTAGGGAAATGAAGTGACATTCAACTAGTTAAATAGCCAGAATGAGATTCTATCTGAGCCAAACACCATACTTTTCCTCCATTATGCTCCATTAGGACTGAAGTGATGGAGCAAAGGGGTCCCATCTGGAGGGGGTTTTATTTATTCTGTGCATGGAACAAAGGGAAAGAGTAAATAAGGAGATGAGGAAGGAACACAAGAGAAAGTAGATTAGCTTTCCAGAAATTTTCCAACCAATCATTCCTTTCAACGACCTGGAACTAAAGAAACAGGCTGCAGGCTGAGAGCAGAGGCAGAGATAGGAAGGAAGATGGCAGGATGGAGCCTAGGCCCAGATATCACTCGACCTGGAGACCCTTGATCTTCCAGATGCCTCTATATTCCAGTCACTCTAGGCACACCTTTCACTCAATCCTGACAAGAGCAGTGGCCACTTTTCGCAACCCGGGATAGAGGCTCCAGGCGGTTTAGTAACAGGACCCACGGCTGTAAAGACGGCTGAGGTGCAAAGCTGGGATTCAAACCCAGATCCATCTAGCTCCCAGGCCCTAGCAGTTCTAAGCTCCTTCTCAAAATCATCCTGCCAGATCCCCACCTCCATTACCTGTGGCTGGGAAAAGGATGGCCTGGGAGATATCATCATCTTCCTCCTCCTCCTGGGGCTCAGAGGCCCTGTGCATGAAGGCCCTCCGGGCATGTCTTCGAGGCAGCCGCCTGACCCCCGGGCTCCCACCTTCCCCAGGCACTGCTGGAGGACCCAAGGCATCCAGAAACAGGGTCCTCACCTTGGCCAGGACAAGTTCCCGGTCCAGTTCTGGCCCGTGGCAGCCATGCCCACCTTGTGGGGCCAACAGCAAGAGCAGCAGCAGGAGCAGCTGGGGCATCATTGCTCACCTGGCTCTGCCAACTGGGAACCTACACCCTGCCCTGAGCCCCTTCTGTCCAAATCGGCTCGGGACCTCCCCCACTGTCTTTTCCCATCCCACCGCCCTCCCTCTTCTACCCTTCTCACCCCAATCATCCCCCCCCTCCTTCCCACGCCCTGCAGTCCAAGTTGCCCCTGCCCATGGCATTGAGACCTCCTATCTCTGACGCAGATGTCTGTGTCCCTGAGCCTTATCTCCCACTCCCGCCAAGAATGTGGGGGAGGGGGCTAGGGAGAATGTTCACCCCAAGTGACCTGACCTACACACTCAAGCATGCCAACTTTTCCCCCACCCCCCTCGAAGCACCCAACACAAAGGTGCCATCAAGTGAGACAGGAGCTTGGGAGCCGAGGTTGGCCAGCTCCCTGCAAGTGGCATTTGTTAGGGAGACAGAATGCACCAGCCCCCTTCAGTCCTTCTGGGGCCCCTTTTAGCCAAGCAGCTGCTGGGCCAGCCAGTGTAGGAGGAAGGGCTGAGAACTGGGGCTCCAGCGGGGGGCAGGTGGTCCTGCCTGCTCTATACTTAGCCCGGAGGAGCCAGTCTGGGCTCTCGTCCTCCAGCTGTGTCATCAGAGAATATTTTTGGGGATTGGCAGCTGCAGGCGCCTCTGCCACTCAGGCCCAAGCCTGGCCGGCAGTTGGGAACCTGGCGGTTGGAGGTGGGAGGGAGGAGGGGAAAGAGGCCCTGGCTGTGGGAGGGGGCTGGGGAGAGAGGCTCTGGAGAGCAGGAAGCCGGGCCGCGGGCAGGGGAGGCCGCGGGGGCCCCTGGCTGCAAAGGCAAACAGGAAGGACTGCCCCCTGAGCGCTGGGCTCGGGCCCGGGAATCTCGGCCGCTCCGCCAAGCTGTAGCTCGGGCCCGAGGGGTAAGCAAGCGAGCCGGGCGAGTGTGGGGGAGCAAGCAAGGGCCCGGGAAGAGCCCCCCGCGGGCCCCCACGCTCGCACCTCCCTCCGGGCCTCGGGGCGCCCGGGCCGACCCTCTGCAGCCGCCGCGATGAAGGCGGGCTCGGGGGACCAGGGGAGCCCCCCGTGTTTCCTGCGCTTCCCGCGGCCCGTGCGGGTGGTAAGTGGCGCCGAGGCCGAGCTCAAGTGCGTGGTGCTGGGCGAGCCGCCGCCCACCGTGGTGTGGGAGAAAGGCGGGCAGCAGCTGGCGGCCTCGGAGCGCCTGAGCTTCCCCGAGGACGGCGCGGAGCACGGCCTGCTGCTGAGCGGCGCGCTGCCCACCGACGCCGGCGTC